AAAATTCAAGCTAAAAGTTATTAATTTAAAATATAAGCACATGAGTCTAATAATTTTGAAGTTAAAAGAAACACACAAGCCTACAAGGGCATGAAGAAAAGACTGACACATTCAACCATATAAAATTTAGAACTTTTATATGATTAAAATTTTAAAGCCAAAAGAAAAACTGATGCCTTAGAAAAATACTTCCCGAGATAGGTTAAAGGCAGCATTCGTTTATTCAATATTTTTAAATGCACTTGCAAATAAAAAAGACTAACAAGTCATTAAAGATAGGCAACATACGTGAATAGGCAGTTTGCTAAAAACGTGTATTACAGATATGTGCAGCTTCACTCATTAAAGTCATGAGACAAATTAATAATTCAAGCTTTTCCACTTGTCAAATCAAGGACAGTTGATGTGATAGCATCGGCAAAGTGCTGGACAAAGAAAACATTCTTACACCTCACTGGTGTGAAGGAGATCGGGTGCGACATCTTTAGAGACCTCCCGACACTATCTATTATGATAGAAAAGTTGTGGATATGTACTTTAGACAGGGATTCTACTTCTATAACTGTAGCCTCCAAATGTATACAAAAGGCCCAACCAGGCTATTCGAGGTGGGATTGTTGGTAATGGCAGGTCATTAAAGCATTTTTCAAAGCTGATTGATTGTGCGTGCGTGCGTGTGTATGTGTGCGCGCACGTGTGTGATGCTGACACAATGGAAGACAAAAGAGCTCCAGTATTTAAGATAATCAGACTGACTGTGATGGAATAAACAGAAAGACAGTAGAGTTATATAGAAAGGGCTTAGCAATCTGTGCTTCTATAGGAATGAGAATACTGTCACTGGGTTGGGTCTGTGAGGTTCCCGGGGCTGAAATAGCCTACCCCACCCTTTTAAAATAAGTTTGCAGGTTCACTCAATCTCGTCACAGAAAAAGCATTTTCAGGATGCTCCAGTAAAAAGAGACACGAAAGGGTTTATCTGGGCACCCTCCGTTCTTGAGTGCAGTTGCTCAGAGCAATGAGAATGCGTTAGAAGCAGGGATAGGGCACAGTTACAGGGGTGTCTTCCTGGAAGGTGATCTAGGATGTGCGTCTCTCTGTCAGGATACACTTTGAAGTTGAGATGTGCTTTAAGCATACACAGCTGTCTTCTGGGCTTTTCTAGGTGAAAAGGACAGGGCTAGTGCCCGGAATTTATAGACTATTGTAAAAGGCCCGTTTGGAATTTCCTTTCTCTGAGTGAGTTTCCTGAAATAGAAAGGGCTTGTCTTGAAGTCTTATTTTTTTCTTTAAAGTACGATTTTAAAATCTCAATTTCCCTGTCACTTTTTTTTAGCCCTATTTTAGTGTGTTTCTCTTGCTGTTGAAAAGGAAAATACATACACAGAGAAAAATCTCTTAAAGGAGCCACTGGGATTGAATAGCAGTGGTTGCTTGGTGGGAGTGGAGCTAAGATTTGAAATGGAGAAGTAGCCCAGTTTTCATCGAATAATTGTACCTTTTTAAAATGGTAACTTTGAGTTATTAGTGGGCCAGATATTCTGCTTTTGGCTTATATGGTCTCCTATTGAAAGCCACATGCAAGTTAAATTTCATTAGAATCATTTTATAGAAGGGACACTGTGGTTTGGAAAGGCTCGGTGACTTATCTGGGATCATGCAGCTGCTGTCCTGTTCCATCATCCCTAGAAATATTTATATAAGCAGCAAGATGTACTGTTTTCAGTAGATGCATAACTGCTTGTGATTTGGTACTTACTAAAGCTTGAATCGATTTTTTAGGAGAAGATAAAATATTTTTACTCAAAAGTAAAAAATGAAGATAGATTTTTTTTAATCTTCTGCAGTTTGTTTCTACCAATTTCTCCCAGGTGGCAAGGTGTTATTCCAAACTCTGACAGGATTTCCTCTTTTCTTTCTTTCAACGCTGTTTATTGCAGACTCCTGAGCCCGGGAGATGGCAAAAGAAGTCAAACAAAGGAAATCAGAGCACCAGCACTGGGTCTCAGAAGCTGCGTGTTTGTATTAGAGGAACTTGGAAAAACTTGATTTGTTTCTTGTAGTTCCAAAAGGCAAGAGGAAGAAATCCCTTGCAACTTCTCCTGACTCCACTGCTGGGTTAAGTAGGTACACAGTAAGAATGACTTTAAGACAACTTTAAAAATAAAAGTAGTGGTTAAGAGCTCAGTCCAGAATTAGAAAGATTTGCTTTTAGGCATTTCTTATATTCCCATAATACTGCTGGGTTTCTGCTGAAAAGATAATCTACAATTCTGAATTCATATCTGTCTGTCTCACTGTCTCTTTCTCTCTGTCTCTCTCTCTGCATCTCTGTCACTGCTCCCCTCCTCCCTCCCTCCCTCTCTCTCTCCTAATGAGTGATTCTGTTCTTGGATATTTAAGAAAAGGCTGTCGGGATTGAGTATGAGCTTCTCCCAGTCACTTTGTCATTTTCTACTTATCACTGGCTTCCTGCCTAGGTTGTACATTTACATGTGAAAATGACTTTAGGGTGTAGGTGTTATAGTGCTGGAGTAGAGTTGGTTCTTGGTTCAATGGAACATACACACACACACACACACACACACACACACACACACACACACATTAAATAAGATGACTAACCCTAAACTTTTAGGCCTGTCACCTCTCTGAGATCTGACATTTGGGAGGACGCATTAATTTTGGCAGTTTTGCTAGTCTACATTTACCAGGAACCTGACATAGATGCCTTTGTCATTTTCAGTAAAGTTGAAAGTGGTTATAAAAGGAAATGGTTCATGAAATGGATTAATGTCACAATGAAACTTCATGCTTTCTAGGTACTCAGTGTATGTTTGGAAATTCAAAATGCCATCACAGCATTCTAGGCTAGGCTGCTAGTGGAAAAATCTCAGTGAGCTATTGATTTGTTCAAGATCAAATCTGAGACTTGCAAATACGCCCATCAGTTTTTTCAACACTCCTGTGGTAAACATTATATAACTCAGACTCACATAATGTGTGTAAAGAAGTCATTGCGTTGGTTATTTCAGTGTGAACTTCTGGAGAAAATGTAAAGAAGTATGTTGTAAATTTTATCACAACCAATGGTAAGAAATGTACTAACAATTACATATCTACACACATATAGAGAACTAAAACAAAAGTTTCAGAGGTATCTGATCTTACCTCATATAAGGCCTTTCTAGTATGATCTATTCTCTTCTATTTTAAAAAATTTATGACTGCTAAATTTATTTAGAAACTCAATAATGAGGCGATTCACAGTTCAAAAACCACTGCCTTGGCAGACCCAAATCTCTCACTGCTCATATTTAGCAGAAACCATCATTTAGAACTCTTGTGTGTCCTTATAGTTTCATTTGATGTATTTGCTGAAAATCCATCTGTGCTGGACTCTGTGGGAACTGTAAAGATTTTTATCTCCAAAATACCTGGGTCTCAAATACTTTAAGGTTTCAGGCAAACCAGGGTATGCGAGATGACCTCCGATCGCTGCCTCCTGGAGCTTATCTTATCCTGAATGAAATGAATTCTAAATTCAAGGAGCTTCGGAGGATCCATCATCCACGAGAATAACTATGTTAAGCAAATAAACTGCTTTATTAGCACTTTCTGGGTAAAGGTATTCGTATGTAGGAGCATCAGTTCCATTTTTACAGATGAGCAATTAGAGATACAGAGACTATTTTATCTCAAGTCACATTGTTATTTTGAGTGCAAATCCAGGGTTATTCTTCAAATACAACCTCGCATGGTGGAGTGGGTTTGTGCTAGAAATACAGTGATCTGTTAGATCAGAAGAGGAGGTGATGAAGTCATGTTATAAACATACTTGACCCTCAGAAAACTAGAAAAGACCTCAGAGGTCTCTTTGCCATTTCTCTTTCCTTAAGGAGGAATTAATCTTAAAAAGAGACAAAATAGGACTATTAATGATGAGTGGTTCCTTCTAGTGCTTAAAGATATTTTCTGAATAAACTCTTAACATGACTCATTTTGTTTTTGCCCATCTCATTCTTATTTCAAAACCTGGAAACAAAATTAAACATTTTATCAAGGTCATCAAGGCCAGGAACCAAACAAGGCTTGTCACTTGTCAGGGAAGGTATATTTTGTTCCTCTCATCCCCATACGTTTCATGAACATGATCCCAAGGGAACATGTGAACTGCCAACGACACCTGCAGCTTCGCACTGCTAGGAGCTGGAGGTTGGCGAGGCCGGCACGCGAGGCCATCTCAGCTGCGAGGCGCCCTTCAGTGGACTTCACTCATGCGCACACCCCTGTCCAGGGCTGTCTGCTCCTGGGAGATGAGTTTGTTCTGCAGACTTCTGAGTGTAGTAGTTTGCTCGTTGAGGAAAACTTGAATTATTCATATACAAAGGGTGATGATGGAAACAAAATGGGCAAAGAGATTATTTGTTAAATCAAGAGATTATCATTTAAGTCAAGCTGTGTGCCCCTTGGACTAGATATCTTTCCATGATTGCTGTGTTTGGAGATGTTTTCCTGAGCTTGCTGCCTACAGCAAATCACTTGTTCCATGTTCTTAAAGCTGAGTGACCTTTATTCTTCTTAGCATTTAGCAGTTTTGCTTTCTACTTATTTTTGTGACTATTTAATCTACGAAGGCCTCTCTCTTTTTAACATCCTCTCTAGACTACAGGCGTAACAAAAATATTCTTTTTTTCCTCTGTTATTACTGTCTCTTCAGCTTTAGCACTATGATCAACACATAAGTGTTCAATAAATCTGTACTGAATGAATCAACTGGCATTTAAGGTGCATTTTAAGTGTTATTTTAAACAGTGACTGACTCAGCTCAGCTCAGCTCACCTTCCATCTTTCCCTCCCTTTTTCTTTTTTTCTCCTTCCTTCCTTCCTTTCTTCCCTCCCTCCCAGCCCCCCTTCTTGTCCTGAGGACTTTGTATATTGATTAGCTAGGAAAGAACAATTGATAATAATTCACAGTGTTCTTTTTTATTGTCTTTCAGTCAACTTTGACCACTTTGAAATTTTGCGAGCCATCGGAAAAGGCAGTTTTGGGAAGGTGAGAATTGCAGAGCTGTGTAGCTCCAGAACAGAAGGCCCGAGAGTGTTCAGATTGCTGAGTTTCTGGGACCATAAGGGCCAAGTGAAATTTCAAAATCATTTTCAAATTAGGCCACCTATAAATCTAGTGATCGTTGTCTTTTCAATATAATTCTTTTCACATGAGAAATAAGACACCTGGTTTCAATTTCCTTTTCCCAAGTATTATTGCGTATTTTCAAACGCTTACCACGAAAAATATACATAGCCAGATTTTTGCTAAGACATTTCCAGATTCAAACTCTGATTATGAGATTTTCAGTGGAGACATACCTGAAAAGAGCATATTTCATATCAAATATGCATTTTACTCCATCAGGAATTATATGGGCTCTTAATGGAATTTCAAAAGCAGGGACATCATAAGTGGCTCTCCAGAGTCCGTTTCATCCTGTCACCCATGGTTGTGATCAGAGTCTCAGCACCATATTTTCAGCTTGACAGTTGGTTATGTCCATTGCATTCACTTGACGAAGGATTAAGAATGTTACTTAAGGATTCCTGATGTGCTGGAAGGTTTAAATGCTGTCTTTCAAAAATCCCAGAAGAAAAACCATACACACAGCAATCAGACATTCAAGAATTGATGTGGTGCACAGGGAAGAAAATGAAAATTTTACTCCAGAATCAGAGCTGAGTGCCAACTTTAGTATCAGTGAATTTGAAAATGGAGTAGCCAAGCCTTGCTAAAGACCAAGTCCTATTTGCCTCCCAGCTGTGATTTGGCATCTCACTCATCACTTCTTTGGTTGGGTTTGCATCATTAGGTCTGCATCGTACAGAAGAATGATACCAAAAAGATGTACGCCATGAAGTACATGAATAAACAAAAGTGCGTGGAGCGCAACGAGGTGAGGAATGTCTTCAAGGAGCTCCAGATCATGCAGGGCCTGGAGCACCCTTTCCTGGTGAATCTGTGGTAAGTGATGTACCAGACCTCTGAAAGGAGCCAGTCCTGTCCGTGTCCCCAGCCACCATAACAAAAATGCATCTTGATTTCCTGCTGTGCCTTTGCAAAATACACATTAGGGTCTTCCTCAAAGGTTTTTGGTCTCCTTGATTTCTTTGGAGACCAATAAAAACCAATGTACCTCGGTTCATACATCGCAGTTCCCCTCGTCCTATGTTTTAGCATTACAACTAAATGGGCTGAAGTCGGATGCATTATCTATCACTCAGATACTTTTTTCTCATAAACTGTGCAGCAGGGACTTTAGGTGCAGAGTATTTCCTCGGTGGTTAGTATGAGGTTGATGTTTAGAATTAGTACAAACCAGTTTCTCCTTAAAATAAGCGACAATAAAACCAATTTCTTTGTAGCATTCGTAAGCAACTATAGGTTCACCTGTGACTTCACAAAGGATATGTGCTTCTTTTCTCATCCGATAGATCTGAACAGAAGTGGAACTAATTTATGTCAGTAACTAGACATCAACCTGCTGAGATCTGTTCTCAAAGCCATTACCATAATTCCAGGCTTAGAAAATGGCAAAGAAGCTCACAATATCTGTTACCTCATGCTCTTTTCTTGTGTGTTGAGGTCTTTATGTTTTTTTTCTTCATTTTGCTCTACATTTTAATGTATCCATTATGTTAAGAACCAGTTCTTAAAGCTAATTCAGTATGAGTGTTATTTAAATATGCACACCAAGCAGTTCTTACTTAGCAGCAAAGGCAAAAAAAAGGGGGTCTTTATCCAGAGAATGCTAATGGAGAAATAATTGAGATCACTATGGTTTAGAGACATCCTTCTGGAGGAATCAGTGCTCAAGACTTGCCTCAATCCATCTTTAATTAATACAGCTTTTTTAATATACAATTCATTTAAAGCCGCTATGCCAAAGTTGAAAAGAAGATGGTTCTGTGTGACTTGGAAATAGATCTATTATAGTTTATGCACTATTCAGACATGGGAAGAGTCTAATTTTGGTTCAGCTTCAGTGTATTTAATCAGCGTTTTAGAGTAGCCTATTCAAAATACCGCCATGTAAAAAGTTAAAGTGGATACAGCTCTGTCTTCCTTAATGGTATCATCAAATCATCTTTTCTCCTCTCTCCCCGCAACCTCACAATGTGCTGTCACACCACAGCCTTCCTTTGTTGAAAGTCATATCTCTTTTTTAAAAAGTTCAGCCAATTAATTGTCTTTTAAGGCCCAGAACTCTCCATTAGAATATACATAGCATTATTCCCTTTTGTGTTTGTCTCTCATTGTAATGTGGCCAAAGCTGATTTCATTCTATACCTGTATTCTTAAAACATAGGTGCTTTAGACTTTAAAATGGGCAAAGTTAAGAAATTTTATTGCAACTTTGATGTCATACCAGACAATATTCTGTTTTCTAAGCATGCTGATATCATCACATACACACACACACACACACACACACACACACACGCGCACATTCTTTCATTGTTTACATTTCTCATACTTGATCTCATAGTGAACCACTGGGCACCTTCAGTGTTTCCCTCCTTACTCCATAAAAGTAGAGAATTCTGAACATATCCATCACTAATGGACAGCGTGGACCTTCAAAAGACAACCTGAAGGATGCTTAGTTCCAAAGCATTATAGGAAATTGTTTGAGAGGGGTCTTCAATTCATTCTCTTTTACAGCCTCTGTTATTTGCTTTGCTTCCCACTACCACTCTGCAAATGAAACATTCTCCAATGTATTACACATGGTTTGTCCAATTCTTATGTCTTCGACTTAACTTACCTTTACCTTTACAGCCCCAAAGCTTGGAGTGGATTCTTAAAGGAACATCAGCCATATGCTTTTACCACCTGCTTGCTTTGTGTGCTCTCTTTTGCAGACCTGCTTTATAGACCTCTCCATGTTGCTTTGGACAATCTTCACATCTATTCTCAAAATGCCCCCCACCTTGGCACTCAGGGGATGTGTTTAAAAAATTCCAATTTCGGGCTGGGGGAAAACACAAATTCTCTTTCAAAAAGCTTTATACTAATGTTAAGAAGGGCATTTGTGTGTGTGTGTGTGTGTGTGTGTGTGTGTGTGTGTGTGTGACATTTAAAAACTCTTTTGATCATTTTACTCAATCTGAAAATAAGAAAACATCTCATAGGAAAATGAAAATTCTTCAGCAAATCATACAGTCTTGAAGCAATGACTCCTAACATATTGGTGTGTGCTTTCATGTTTGTATAGTTTTCCAATTTTAATCATGCATTGGTCGTATCCATTTTGTCATTTGTATAAATATCTACTGAGCACCAAAAATCCAGTTATAATTTAGGGTTGCCCTTTAAAATACAGGATGAACAGTTATATTCAGGTAAAAATAGCCAGTTATTTTTTGCCTGTATGCCAAGCATCACACAAAATATGTTTTTACTGAAAATTAATCATTACTTCTCTGAATTTCGGATTCAGTTGAATCTCTTGTAGTATTATTTGTAAAACCTGGGAATTCTAACTGAGACCCATAGTGTAAGGACACAGTGGTGAGCAGGAGAGCACAGAGCCTTGCTTTCTGCTGCATTACCATTTACTGGGAGAGGCCAACCTTACTGAAATGGCACATGGGTGGGTGTGTAAGACTTGCACATACACAAAAGGAAGATGTGCAGAGGACCGTGTGTCAGGAGGTTGTGTGTTTTAAGGAAAGAAGTTAACCAGTGTGCAGGGTTGTAAAGAAGGGAAGAACGTACACAATTAAAACACAGCTATACCACCTCCACAGACCTGGCCCAGCTCTGGAACACGGTGTTCAGATCTAGGCCATGTTATCAAGTGAAGGCTGCCAGACAGGGCTGGCATCCAGGAAGAGTAAATCAAATCTTCCTTTGAGTCCTTTCCCGAGGGCTGTTAACAAAGCCTTGGCAACCCACAGCCTGAAAACAAGTCTGCCCCAGTGATTCCCAGCACAGCCAGGACCCCAGGTGGCTTTTGTTAATTGAGATTAAGCCTGCAGCTGCGCAGGACTCCTCAGGGCCTGTCTCTGCTTCCCTGTGTGCCTGGCCCCTGTGAGCAGAGGGCTCCGTGCAGGCCTTCAGTAAATTAAAAGACAAGATCAGCAGTCTGAAGTGGGAGCACAATAAGCCTCTCAGAAGGCTGAGCATAGCTCCGGAAATGAGTTCCCTGCAAGCAGACTTCATCATTTGTGCTCCGTGCCTGTGCTTCTTCACAGGCTATGATAACTCACATGGCCTTAGAAACACAGTATCAATGATGGTAACTCCTAGGGAGGGCATCCTGGTACTGTGGGTTTTACATATATTACACCCTTAATTTGTCCTAAGAAACTTAGTCAACAGGGATTGTTATTCCCATTATACAACTGGAGAAACTGAGGCTGAAGGAGGCTCAGAGCTTTCCCCAGTTTCATAGAGAGCTACTGATAGTCAGGACTCAAGCCCAAGAGTCCTGACTTCAGAGCTCTGACTTCAGAGCTGCTGTTCTTCCTCCCACTAGGACTCCAAAAGACACATTTGCAACTTCCTTACAAATATGAGGAAGCAGAACTTATCTTGTTTATTGTCGTTCATACCCCCCACAAGAACATAAATCCCACGAAGCAGCTATATCTTTATGTTTTTCTCAGCCTTATTCCCCATCGCTAACAACAGTGCCTAGCACACAGCATGTGCTTAATAAATAATTGTTGAATAAAAATAGTAGTGAGAGGAGAACTCTCTCTCTCCTGGTAATTGTCCTTTTCCTGTATCGCCCTCATCCCCTTCTGTTTACTCACAAACACACCCCCGTTTCACCAGGCCCCCTTCCGTTTCTTTGCAGACCCTGCAGTCAGTAGCATGGGAGTTTAAATCCTTGCTCTACCATTTGGTTAACTGTGGAGTAGGCCTATTAACATTACTTGTTTTCCTCATCTATAACTGGAATAACAGTAATATTCAAGCTGTGAGGTGTTACTATGAATGCTAAAAATATGTGCCTAAAGTACTTCCCAAAGCTGGTGCTTAATAAATGATGACTCTAAAACAACTAAGTCAGGCCCCTCCCAGGATGTTTCCTCTACCCCCTCACTAGAGAAGACTTATGCCTATGTGAGCATGGGCTGGGCTTCTGATTTTGATCGGAGCCCACTTAGCTGAAGCTGTGGGTGATGTGTGAGTCCACCATGCAAAATCACCCACCAGCCTTACTGAAGACAAGGACCGAGACCAGTCTTTCTCTTCTGCTACGAGGCTAGCCTTGCCTTCACAGGGGAGGAAGAGGTCCTAACAGCAACAGGAGGACAAGCTTCACGAGTGAGTGCTCCTCCAGCCTCTGCCTGTGTCACACTGTCTCTTATCTCATTGGCCAAAGCAAGTTGTGAGGCTGAGTTCAGATTGAAGGAGAGGAGAAATAGGCTTCACCTCTGACAGGACCCATGGCAAAGTCAAAATTCACAAGAGACATGGCAGGAATCACTCTGGCCAGTTCTGAGAACAATTACATAAAATATACATGATATCAAACTATAATTTTGGTTTATTATTTAATTTTATTAGTGTGTGTTTGAAATACATAGCATTTACGTTCACTTTGGGGATCTGAAACATATGCGTAATTCCATGATCATTTTTTGATCTCTTACCCCGTTCCCTTCCTTTTCTTTTCCTCTGATCTCCTTCCCCTTCTCTTTAAAGTTTGCCTCCCTTTAAGAAGTCAACAAAATGATGAAGTAAATCGCAGAAACTGACTGATGATGTCCTAATGAGGGGAAATAAGCTAAGTCTTTATAATGCAGACCTTGGGTTATCATTTGAGTACATTAGAAATGTTTCCTTCATTAAAAACAGTAGAAGGAGCCACTGGAAATTTGAACTAAAAAGAAATTCGCTGGATGGCTATGGGGGGGTTTAGTAAAAAGTAAAGCTGAAGACCCAGGTCAAGAAAGTTAGGGACGGGGACAATTCTGGGAATTTCGGTAACAGGGACTAATGCACAA